TCTCTTCCTATTTTTCTCGTTTTGGACACTGCTGCTACAATGATTGCATATTTCATTGGTAAACATTTCAATATTAAACGTTTGCGTTCTTCTCAAAATATCATATCTGCCAGAGTGAATAGAAAATTTGTTCTGTTTACAAAAATGTCTCTCAATATCGTGTTTCGGCAGGATATACTGTATTACTATACATTCATGCATGAAACGAAGGAAAATAAAGTGTGCATTACATAGAAAAATTTATGTAATGCATACTTTATTTTCCTTCGTTTCATTAATTTTGACACATTTTTGATGGGATACAATGCGAAATAGAGCGTGACGGAATGTTACTTTTCTGCATTTTAAGCGTTCTTTCCTTTTCGTGACACTTTTACTTTTACCTTTTTTTACCGTTCCCAGTGAAGTATGTAAAAAGGTTTACTTCATCAAAGCAAAAAGTAATAAGAAAAGATTTATATACTTAAGATAAATATAGAAAACCAAATGTTATAAAAAAATAAATGATTTTGTAAAACATTTATTCTGTATTATTTGTTCCTAATAAAGACAAGTAATGGCAACAAATACAAGAAAACGACAAAAAACTTTCTCATATTCATCGATGAAACTTAGGAGAAATGTAAGTAAAACGATGTGTACAGTATAGTTTTCACTCTTGCGTCAGCGGTATGATTGCATCTGTGTTACTCATTCAATATCTCACTGTCGAAGTTGACTAACATTATTTTGAAATTAAACGTGTTCTATCCACATCCAAAAATCCGACGTATTTTGGACGACAGTAAAATTGATTGTCTGATAGCAAATATAGATAGTATAGTTATTCAAAATACTATAGTTTCATAATGCTCTTGAGTTTTAGAAGTTCGAGGATTTATGTGATGATGTATTGATGTTAATATTTGAACACTTAGACATCTATCATCTATATGAAGCCTTTTATAACCAAAATCAACGTTTAAATCAAGTTGTAAGCGATAAGCAACTTCGTCTATATTCAACAACATCGATAATACCTGAAAATAAACATAATTTTTATTATGAAACGATATTTCCTAAGTGTAAAATTCTTACATTAGACCTAGATCAGAGGATCAATTCTATAATATTTATTCCATGATCAGAACTAATACGAATAACAATTCATTGTTGTGATGTAAATGATTTATTCTCTGTTCTGCAATATCTTCCACATTGTCGTTATTTGAATATCAAAAGATTGATGACTGATGAGAGAGCTATCAACAAACAAAATCTTGCACCACTATTAAATCTTCGATGGTTAAAACTTGACAAAAGTCACGTACGCTACATACATATTGAACAATTATTAAAATTAATCCCTCAAGTTCAAATATTGTTAATCAATTGTGAAGATCGCAGGGACGAATATTATTTTTCACCAAAATACTTCAACACCGATTTATGGAAAAACCTCATAACAACATCGTTAGCAAATCTAAAAGATTTTCAATATACAATTACCGCAGTGTCTTTATCAGAACTAGTTGATTTGAAACAAAAATTTGAGCAAGATGACTATTGGACCCAAAGAAAATTCAAAATAGTGATTAATTTAATAGACTATATTCGTGTTCATCATGATCCAAAAGTATTTGGTGGCATATCTGCGCGCAAGTCTGCGCCTCGCATAGGCATGTCTGCACAGAGGTGTCCACGCATGTCTTTGGCTTGCACACGCAAGTATGCGCTTCATTCTAACATAAATAAAAAGATTAAACGTCGTGCTCGAAACCATTGATAGGATGTCCATCGATGGTACTCGAATCATTTATTCTTTCCATTCTTGTCAATATTAAGAAGTTCTCTCTGTTGACGTGTTTTGATGCGTGCATTTTTGAAAGAGTGAGTTTTCTTGTTAATTACTAGTCTTGAAGTAGACAAACCGTAATTCACCGTTTACTAGTGAAGTATTTCAAGAAACATGCCATTTTGTCGAGAATTGTGTAGCAGACGGTTATAGTAATTTGAGCCCAGTCTATTATTCTAAACGTTATACAAAACTTTCATTAAATAAAATGGAAAAATTGTCTTCGTCGACTAAAAATTATCCGTAAACAATGTGAATAATAGCATAAACTGATTGAAATTGCTGAAAATTTTATTAAACAAAACAAGCTGAATTAGAATTAAAACTAGACATATTGTTTGTTGGTGATGTTTCGGTATTGATGCTGGCAATTCAGTGTATTCTGAAGAAACTATGACTTTTTCAACGATTGTAGGATATCGTATCATGAAGTTTTCCGTTCACCAGAATATGTACTACTTTCGGACTTTTAGATGGTCTTGCCAGCATTACAGAGAGAAATTTTCTGAAGGCTCTGTTCAGAATAACAAACTTTACAACCATTTACTCTTAGTTACCGTCAGTTGATAAACTGGAATTTGTACTAGGCAATTTGTACTAGGCTTTAAGGGGGGTTTTTTTTTAGTTGAAAAACCGAGACTTTTAGCACCAAATATGTGTGAAGATAGAATAAAGCCTTCTCTACAAAATGCTGAAAATTCGAACTCTCAATCTCTTTTCGTTCTCGAGTTATTTAAAAAACATCCATGATCGCTCGGTTGAGAAAGAATAGTAGAAACCTCGTTTGCCTGAAACTAAGTACAAATAACTGCTTATGCGTAAAATTTTTGAAAAGATAAATACAGGGATTTGTAGCGCTTGGAAATCTCTGTCGAATGACGTATTACTTTACCCTTTCTAATAAACCATTAATTTGCAAATAAAAGTGTGAGGCATCAGAGTGATATCGATTAGTATTCATTAGCATGATAAATTATAAATTATTGTCTCAACAAAGCTTTTTTTAAAATTTTTTTTCATTAAACCATAACAACAGACCATTGACTATCAAGTAATGCGTAAATGACTTTTCTACGATTATTTTTGACTAAGCTACAAGTTTTTTAAAATGAGGACTAGGACTTTAAATTTTCATTAAAATTTAAACTTAATTAATTAATAACTCTGCGAATACTTATCAGTTCATTGAAAGAACTTAAGGATATATGTAGTCAGGTGTCCTCTTTAAACTGACAAAGTTTGAAGATACATATATGTGGGTGGAGCCCCCCTTTAAGGTCACACTCACGAACGCTATAATCATGATCATAACATCCTTCATAGACGGGTTAATCTTTTTCTGAAAAAAGTCATTTATTCTTTTTGAAACTTGTTCTTTCTCAAAACGTGAATATTCTCCAGTAATAACATTCTTCTTGAGAATGGATTGATCAAAATGAATAAATTTTTTTCTGTTTGGTAGCTGAAATACAGAGAGGGAAACAGCATACTGGAGACGAGACTGTCTAGTACCATTATCCACAATGTAGGCAAACTGGACATAGTATTAATTTTTGTCCACAAGGAACAGGCAATAATGAGCGTAATCCTTCCGCTAGACCTTCTTTTTCTGGCGGTAGTTTTCAAAAGCAGCAAGACCAACAACGACCCAATCGTTTAAACTAAAAAGGGAGCAGCCGAACGAGGATAGGCTGAAATCCCTTCTTTCTACTTCCTCAATTGATCAATCGAAAACAATTGGTAAGTTAAAAGCTCTTGAGTCTTTAGCAAAATTGGAAAAATCTGGCCGTCATAGTAGGGATGTTTCAAAACTTAGCCGAGTTTCTAGTCTTTTAACTTTACTTCCTACTACTGCGCCAGCCTTCAAAGATGAAATGCCGTCATCATCAGCCGTTTTTCAGAGCGAAGAAGTCTCTTCCCCCTCGGAAAAACCTCTTGCAAAGTTTTGGAACTAAAAGAACTAAAATATCTTGGCCATATTGTCAGCGCCCGAGGAATTCGGCATAATAAAACATAATCCCGTTTTCGTTTTCACTCCGGATCATTTAAAAAAGGTTCGATCTCTGAAAGGAACGCCTAATCACAGTCCCAATTGTCACCTATCCCAGTTTCGACCACCCGTTTATGCTACAGTTAGATGCTTGTGCCTATGGACTCGGTGCTATTCTTGCCCAAAACATCGATAGCAAAGAACATGTAATTGCGTATGCTAGTCGTACGCTACAACCATGCGAAAGAAAGTATTCTGCTGCCGAACGCGAGTGTTTAGCCATCGTTTGGGGCACTCAGCATTTCAGACCCTATCTTGAGGGACGGCCTTTCGAGGTTTGGACCGACCATAGGTCTCTGACATGGTTGAAAAACATCAGAGACCCAACCAGCCGTCTCGCAAGATGGGCCATGAAACTTGATGCGTATGACATGGTCATTAAACATCGACCAGGGAAAGCAAATATTAATACAGATACTCTTTCTCGCTATCCCATTAAGACCGAGATAGTAGCTGCCAAATAGTATTTTAATCGACCCTATCGAAGAAAATTAAGAGATAACCGTTAATATTTGGGATAGCTGTAATATTTTAGACCATATAAAGGCATCACAACGACAGGATAAGGATTATGACCAAGGGGGAAAACGCGGTTCTGCGGATCCGCCAAGATCTCCACAGATCACTCCCAATATTCTTCTGCTAAAACAGAACAGTTCGGGTCGCGAAACAGGACAAGCATGTTCCCGAAACAGAACACTCCGGTCCTTTTATTGGGAAAAGTTCTCGGATAACAGCACAATTGTGCTCCGTTCTGTGAATCCTTTTCCCACAGACAGAACGTTTTGTTCTGCTTGTGGAAACAGAGATTTCTGGGACAGTTCAGTTCAATAAAATTGTATCCGCATGGATCCGCTTGTATCGGCAAGGATCCCGGATCCCCCTTTTCCCCCTTGATTATGGCCCCTTAATTTCCTTCATTCAGGATGATGTTTCTCCGTTTGATGGTATTCTCCTTCAAAAACTCCAAAACCTCGCCAAAAACCATAAAGTTATCGATGAAACACACTCAAAACGTCTAGATCTACTAAAACTCGCACATGATCATCCTGCATCAGGTCATTCAGGTCGCCGAAAACTCTACATACACTATCAATCCGTTTCCACTGGGCAGGAATGAGGCGCGACGTAGCGAACTATGTAAGATCTTGCTACCATTGTCAACGTTTTAAGGCTGGTAATGAAAAAAAGGCCGGTTTAATGCAATCACATATTGTGCAAACACCTTGGTATACGCACACAGGCTCACTCCCTGAAACTCCCAGGGGAAACAGCTACATTTTAGTCCTTATTGACTGGTTCACTAAATGGGTCGAATTGTTTCCTTTGGAAGATATAAAAGCGAAAAATATCGCAAAATTATTGCATGACGAAGTCATCTGTCGTCACGGAGTACCGGTTAAAATCATTTCTGATAACGGAGCTCAGTTTGTGGCCGAGATTTTTAAAGAAACTTTGAAAATATTAGACATTCGACATCGAACTACCGCTCTATACCATCCGCAATCTAATTTGTCAGAGTGAGTAATCGAACTTTAAAGCCGATGTTGGCAATATTTGCTGAAAACGAAAAAGACTCGTGGGATGTACGACTTCCTCAACTCGCTTTTGCCATTCACACTGGTATAAACGAATCAACGGGCGAAACCCCATCTTTTCTACTTTATGGTAGAGAGTTAAGACTCCCAATGGATCTTTTATAGGGGTCTGAGATCGAAGCGACGGATGAATTGAAAGATTCGGCCGAGTTGCGAGCGTATACCGATCGCTTACGTGTTGTTCTATCTTCAGCACATAAGTCTGTGCGAGACAATCTTGACATTGCGCAACAAAACCAGAAAATTCTTTACGATATGCATCGTAAGAAAGTGGAATTTGAGGTAGGAGACTTGGTACTAACGGCAAATACGGCAGGTAGCGCATTAGGAAAATGGGCAGTTCCCAAACTTGCACCCAAATAGCTCGGTCCGTTCCGTATTTCTAAGAAATACGGCTCTCTTAACTATGAGTTAGTGTCATTGGAAAATGGCGCGGTCTTAAGTTCCATTTATGTGGAGCGTCTTAAAGCTTATCATCCTAAGGCTTCTCTCCATTAGAGTCTAATCTCACTGTACAGTTTTTGCTTTCCTTTTTTTTGTGCAAATCTTTAGTTCTAACTGTGCGGTTTTGTCGTTTGCTTTATTTTATATACTTTCTGGGAAGATTTCCTTTTCCTTTTCTTTTTTTTCTGTTTTTTGCATTTCCTTATATTTTTATTCGATTCAAAGAAGTATTTTTAATAATGACACCAAAACAAAAACTAGTCCCGCTGGGCTCTAATTAAGATGTCCGCTACTATAACCTGAGATCGAAACTAAGTATTAGTCCTCATGTGTAGATGTCACTTTCCTTGAAGTATGACTGATTCTTTGCGGTTGACCTTCTTTCGCGTGAAGTGTAGACAACAACAAAAAGTAAAAGAAAAAGAAAGAGGAAACAATTCGTTTTCTTCGAGTTGCGTTAGAATAACATACCTAATGTATTCATCAGGCAAGTGAGTGAAGAAGAAAGAAAGGGTTCGTAATGGTAAAATTACTCTCTGTTAACTTTTCGTTATTCAAGAATCTAGCATGGCACGTGTTTCTTTCTGGAAAGGTGGAACTCCCTGGTTTAGCCTTCTCTGCTTCTGATCATAGAGAGTCGTATTTTTCTTCTTGGAGAGAGAGAAATTAACAAGTTTTTTCAATTTACGGTTCATACCGGCAGGTTTTTTATGTTTCTTCTCTCCTCGAAGCCGATTTTATCTCGATTGTCTGAGTGCGGAGGTGGGATTTTGGAGTTTTGCTATTTCTCAGAAATGTGACATGACAAGAAGCGCTTATTTCGATTTATATCGCTTTAGACGTTAGGAAATCCCATCACACCTTTCCTTTTCTTCTTCTACATAATCAAGGAAAAGAATAAGTGCAAAGATTTAGCGAAGACCAGACGAATTTAGGATTTCTCTCCTTGAACGGACAAACAGAGAGATTCCTCAAACTATGAAAAACAAACCTAATTCAAAAATTGATATAATTAGAGAAGACCTTTCTAGCTGTTGTTGTTGACATAGCACATCAAAGTCGTGATCGTAAATACAGTTAAACTTTACTGTAAAAGCTGCTGCGAAACAAAAACAACTGGAAGTCGAAAAAGATTCCTTTTTCCTTTGCAGAGAAGAGTGAGCGATTTGACGGGTGTACTACTATGTGTTTTCTCTCTTTGAGAACAAGTTTTCAAAGGCGCTTAGCGAGATTACCGTTACTCCAACATATGCTACTCTCTTGTTTCCTGATTCGAGGACGAATCTACTGGGGAAGGGCGGTCCTTGTATTGGCTGCTTTGTCGTTACTAAATTTGTTCTCTCCTTTTCCTTTCGAGTGGAGAAAGGTAAAAAAGTTTGTTTGGCGGAATGTGTGAAGAAATAGAGAAAGTTCTTCTAAGAAATCAACTCATAAAGAATAAATTTTCGTTTCCGCGAGTTACACGAAAAACGAGTCGTAATCGGACTAATTTCGTTCAAAATATGACTTTTGTTACTTTTTCTCAAAACATTGAAACCTATCTTCTTTTCATTTTACTTTTCAAAAAGTAGAGATTTCGGTTTTTCTTTCATTCAAGTTTTTAGTCTTCCTCTTTTATCATTCACATAAACGAAGAAGAAATTTAGTTTCAATTATCATATTATTTAGTACGAATCGGCTTTCTTTAACTTAATTTAAGTTAGTCCATTTTCATTTCGTTTGCGAATTTCTTTTACTCCTCCTCCTATTGAAAACATCGACTTCGATTTAATTCATTCAACATTACCTTACACAAGAGGAAGGAGCACAACATCACCATTCTTATTATAGAAAAAGAAGACTAAAACTATTATTCATATTATTGTGAATATTTTGACATTGTAAAAATCATCTGGGATTTACTTTGTGCAAGCTCGTAGAGAAGCCAAACCCCTCCTTTGAGCATGAGCGAATAAATTGAAGAAATGAGATTCGTACAGAGTGCAATGAAAAAAATTGAAAACCGCACCTAAAAGTGAGTTCAATGGTGTGATGAAACAATATGCCTACTTTATTTTTGAGAAGGTACTAATTACCCGAGTACATTCATTACCGGTAATGAATGTAGCTCTTTCTGGTCAGTTGTTACGATTCGGTAACAAGACAAGAAATAAGAAAAATACTCTAAGGAACGCTTTCGTTCGCTCCGATTGGAGAATATTACACTGTAATGAACGGCAAGGCTCTAGTACTCAAAAATATCCTTCAGATACAGATATATTCGTATTAAACTTAATCGAAGCTTTGTGCTTTACCGAATGTTGATAGTATTTGTTCCAGTGGTACTGGCGTTAAACTTTCATGTAATTTTTGAATTGATATTCGTTTTACATTCATATATTCTGGTTTCCATCTTGTCACAATACGATCTAATAGAATCCGAACAAATTGTTTAACTTCTACTGTCCATGATTGCTCCCTCATCGGCTGATCAGCATTTTCAACTATGTGCCGACTGTTTTCTTCTTTTCTAATAGCTATCGGTCTAGGCAGATCATCAAAAATATCGACTTCTAACTCAAACAAATTGAGTACTGATGCATAAGTTTTATTAAATAAAAATAAATATCTTGCTTGTCGCCATAGGTCACCCTCATCACCATCTAACCGTTCTTGATACCATGTGTTTCCGTCCATTCATATTTCAGTCTATCGTGTTACTCACTACTTTTTTCGACAACAACAGGCACAGAAATTTAGTTATAATTAACTAGAAGTCAAGATAAAATGGAGAAAAACTGTGAATTTGTCGTCGAAAACATGTGAATAGCAAAAGTCAACAGATGATGGTGGCATTTTCTTTCTTTTCTCTTCACTTTTTATAGATTGAGATTAGACTGTGCTATCCTCTGATTTAAGTGATGACGATCCAAACGATTTGTATTCACTAGTCTAATAGTATTTAACAGTTATTGCCGACTTTTGACCCTTTCCGCCAATTTAAGTCTCTCCCTGCTGGCTTTGAACCCATCACCTCGACTTCTCTGCCGACTAAGTCGACAAAGATTTATTCAATAAATGATTAAAGAACGTCTTGTTATTGTGAACGTTAAACTCAGTGTGAAAATAAATCAAACAAAAACAAAAAGAAACCAGATCAAGGCAGCACGGGCTCTATGTGCCGACTGGGATCAGCACTGTCTACAACAGTGACCAACGGTTCTGCACAGCTCAAAAGCGTCTACAGTGACGTAAATACTCGCACTTATATTAGAAACGCCTAAAATATTGATACAGCAATTTTAATTTACTAAATTAAGCAGATTTCAGGTACGTAATAAGATATTTTAAATTTCTGATCGTGTTCCCCAAGTTTGTTTTTGATTTCGAGGTGGTTGGTAAGTCGTCCTCCATCCTCTCGCTCTTTCTCTGATTCTGAGACAGGCTCAGTTGCAGGTAATGGGATCGATTTGGAAAGCAAGAAGGAACGGATTTTTTACTGGAATAGCCTGATCAGTTTTCTTTTTTCAATGAAAGAACATGTCACAATTCGCTTATATTTTTGAAATATGAATCGTAAGAGAATCTTAAAATCATTATTCTTCAAGTAATAGAAAACGTTTTCTGATTTTCGGAAAAATTAAAGAATCAACTAATTTTACAGAAAGTCAAACCGAATATTCGATTTTGTCTAAAATAAAATTAATTTCTACAAAATCGTGTTTATTTTCTGTGAATCTCTCATTGATCACACACTCAAATTCCGCTGTTTAATGAAAGAAGGAGATAAAGTAATCCTGTATAGAAAAGAAAATGCGAGGCATGATTTGAGACGACCGATAATAAGAAAAAGATATAGATAAATCTTATGTATGATGTTTATCAAGTTCTATTCTATTATTGTATACGTCATGTTAACATTGTTTTTCAAATTTTGAAAAATTGTTATAATTTTAGATTGTGGATCTATGAACTATTTCGTTTTTAAACGACCGAGGATGATATGTTAATATATCGAAACGTTTAGTTAATATATATTTAATAAATACGGAAGAAAAACTTCAAAAATTCTCTCAACTAGAATAAAATAGTTGAAACAAAATCGAACGTTTAAAGTTGAATAACTGCAATTATCAAGAAAGAATATTAGTTAGGCATTAGCTCTCGGCCTAATAACGCTAACACATGCATGTGCATTGTAATGTGTACGAGAAAAAAGATCTCATACACCTTTGGACTTCTTTTTATAAAGCAACATAAACATTCAATACCACGCAACTTTTGAGCAAAACGCGAATTCTGTTACTTTTTCTTACCATAAAGAGGACAAATTAGCAATCACTACTGCTCAGATCTTGTTCAACCAGGAAAATAAACGTGACACTTAAAGTGACTGTCACTTATAAGTGTGTGCACCATTTTAAGAGGTCGCTTCCCCCTTGCTTTTAGCTCTTGGCAAAATTGACTAGATCTAAATGGAAAAGAGCTAGTAGCATTGATAAGATAGTAACAACAGCTATTTTTAGATTCATCTTTATTTAATAAAACTTAAAATTAAAAAATGTTTTTTAAATAAAACGTTTTTATAAAAATAAAGTCGACGTTTCGAAAATTGTAATTTTCATCATGAAGACAATAGAGACGATCAACACGATATAAAGTGAAAACGAATATGACTAAATAAATAAACATAGGGAGTAAAATACATTTTTGTAGTATGAGAGAGAGAAGGAGAGAGATAGACATTCATTCTAAGAGAGAGAAAACATATTTTGTGAAATTGAGAAAAATGAACAGACTATGCGGTCGGTACACAAGGTCACAAATGCCTTGAGATGTTATTTTGTTAAAACGATGAATTGCATATCTGGCCCTAAACAGTCCAGAGATTTTATGTCTAACTGAAACGTGGTTAGATGACACTGTTGACAATAGCGAGATAGCTATTTCTTTTTATCATCCTCCTTTAGGTTTAGATAGAGATAGGCATGGCGGTGGATGTGCAGTATACATACGAACTGATTTTCATTCTTGCGCCTACATGAAGTTGAAGCTGCACAGTTTGAAATACTTGCGTGCGCGTAACACTAAGTAATAAAATGAGTATGATTCTTTTAAATGTCTAACGCCCTACTTCCATACAGAAATTAATTAAACAGTTAGATACTGTTTTAGAGCAAATTAGTAGCAGCAAATACAAGAATGACATGATTTTGATGGTCGGGGACTTCAATTCCCACTATCAATCGTAGTCTATTAGTGACATCCCATCGACTAAGGAAAGTATAGAACTTAACGAGTATCTCGAGTCAATATCTATGTATCAAGTAGTGCGTGGAATTACCAGAGATGCGTCTAGAATATGTCTAGATTTAGTCATTGCTCAAAATCCTTTATTTATATTTGATATAATAATAGAACCATCTCTTTATCGAAGTGACCGCAATTTTATAGAATTTAGATTAAACGCTTGTCTGAATCGAAAAGACAAAATTTTACGCACTGTTTACGACTATAACGTGGTGAACTGGGAATCAGTAAATGAGCGTTTGAGAGGAATTCCGATTGATCAGCACTTAAAAAATTATAGAAATGTTACTGAAAGAGTTAAATGTTAGGTTCCCATGTGAACTAAGATCTTTCTCAGCTAACGTTTATTTACAAATAAAAAGTTCTCCTTTAACAATAAACTCAAGCTATTTATACTAGCAATAATCTTGTTTACAAAATCGTGTTTATTTTCTGTGAATCTCTCATTGATCACACACTCAAATTCCTCTGTTTAATGTCTCAGTCGCGTACTCTGAGGTAGAGACCTACAACCCGACCCGACCCTAGGGTCGGATTGGGTTCTGGTTAAGATGTTGTCGGTTCGGGTCGGGTTCGGGTTGAATATTTGGCGACGCAATTTAAAATATAAATAATATTTTTAGCTTTGTATTACTGGTTGAAAGTTATCTCTACTGGAATTTTCAGTTGAAAGACTTGTTTCAGAATAACTGCATTCACTAAGTCGATTAATGATTGCTTTTTTTACACATAAGAGGAATGCAGGAGAATAATAACGAGAATATGCAGCTAACCACGAACGACGGGTAATTGTTAAACAAAATAAATATTGAGTCACTTACTGGTACATCAAATAGTGTTCCAACTCGGAAATTGAACGTTGTTATATTTCTTGCCATTCTTTAATGCTAGAATTCAATGATTATTTTTCAATATAAACAATAATAAATGTTAATAAACCAAAGTCTATTGAATAGTGCACAGACTCTAGAACGATACAACGAAAAACGGAGAAGTTATATACAAAGTGGTAAACCATAGCAATAATAGACACGTAGAGTTTCACACATTTAGTTAAAACAGAAAAAAAACCCGTACAGGGCAAAAACCAAATATCATAATAGCATAAAGAAGTTTACTGTTTCCTTCTTTGTCATTCTTGCCGCAGCATTTGGATGAGAATCTTATCTGAAATCACAAGACTTAACTGTTTATACGAAGCATGTTTCTTCGTTTGAAGTTACATAGGCAGAAATACACATGTATCGCATAAACCAAATTAAAAGCATTGAGTGACAAATGTCCACTTCTATTATCTTAAGACAAGGGCTTTTCTTGTAAACTTTTTTTTGTAAACATATTTTTGAGGTCGCAATAGCATTATTTCTAATTGTTATGGTGAATTATATTCGGAGAGTAAAACGCAGTTTTCTTCATCAACACGCAATTTTTTCTCGTCATCAATACAATATTCGGAATCAGTGTAAAATTCTGCATCTAGTACATGTGTTTTCGAAAAAAACAGAAGAAAAAGATTTTTCACTTTTCCTAAGGGGTACCTCCGACCCAAAAACGTGACGTTTCTCCGAAATCAAATACGTCTTTTTCACAATCTCCAGTAAATAGCCGTTTTTCTATTACGTAGTTTGTATTTGAGCAGTTTCTCATGTCATAAATATTATTAAGCAACCATCGTCTACATCAATTTCTTTCTCGAATATTAAAAATGCATTAACCACAATCTTTTTCAAAGTATAATGGACTTCGATATTTTTTGAATAACTTTTGAAATACAGGAAGTCTACTCTATCTACAATATAATCTTTTGTAAGTGGGCTGTTAGTGGTCAGTGAAATGCAGCTGTTTTACGGACGCGGCTTTGCAGACGAGTCTATGAGAATACTACTAGGGTATTGTTGCTGTTCATTCTTTTCAATCGAATCATGATTTAACTGTTCCTGACAACCATTTTGGGCGTAAGCACATGAAAATTTTAATTTTGATCCATGACGTCATTATATGAAAGGGAATATCCATCTGGTTTGTGCAATCAAATATCGATCCTTTTATGTGATGACTACGTTCAATGGAAACCTGACACACTAGGTGTTTCTATATTTCTTACATAAATCCAGGCATGGGCGAGTCCGAGCCGAGTCCGAGTCCTCAAAAATTTATTCCGAGTCCGAGTCCGAGTCCCTAACATTAAGGACCGAGTCCGAGTCCGTTTCGAGTCCGGTAATCTTTTAGATTCTTTTTTGATGATTGTGGTTCATTTCTTTTTTTTCTGTGCCATTTAATATATCAATCTTGTTGAAACAGAAAAAAGTTATTAAAGT